TGGCTATGGAAGCGCTCAAATCGGGACAAAACATTATCCTATCGATGAATACCGGCGATGATTGGGTGGTAACACCGGATGTGCTAAAGAGACAGCAAGGTGATCCCACCACATTTTGTGTCTGACTTCTTATTGTTATACTGTATATAATATTGATTTGATATTTTGTTGACATTTATATACGAAATAATTTTTAATTTCTAAAATGCTTTATAAACTTTTTGAATTTTGTTGTTTACACTTACAAAATGTTTTTTTTATTTGAGAAATACAATCCATGAAATATAAAGTACACAATATTTGCAAATTAATTCAAATTCATTAAATTTGTGCACATTTTGTAATAGTATTGTTAACTAAAGTATACACACTATGAGAAACTGATCTCGAGTTAATTGAGAGATTATTTGTTACAATAATATCTCAAATATGATGACAATAAGTGCTATATTTTTGTTTAATTATTTTTAATTGACATTTAATTCTTAACACGAGATATAAAAGCGGATAAAAATTCAAATTTACACTAATATTTAAATTTTTGGTATTTATTACGAAAAATAACCAAAAGTAAAGTCAAACAAAATTATCCGAGAATTATGTTTAGAATTAGTTCTTTGTTTAAAGGGTTTATCAAAAGGTATTTATAAGCGTTTTGTTGACCAAAAACTAAATAAATTGTTTGCGTATTGTCCCCTAGTCAACACTGTCGCTAAGGTCGCTAACCTGAGTGTGAAGTTGTGTTATCTGTTGTTAGCGGTGCTTTAGTTACCTGTCTGTTAGCGAAGTCTGTAACCAAACCGAATTTCTCCCCTCATATGGCTGAGGCGTTCAGCCCCGAGTGGTTTGAGCCGTTTGTGACAATTAGACCCGTATTTAAATCATCTCACGAAATCAATGGACAGACAATCGCTTCAGACATTGGTTTGGCTTAAAGAGGGCTCATATGGCTGAGGCGTTCAGCCCCGAGTGGTTTGAGCCGTTTGTGACAATTAGACCCGTATTTAAATCATCCGTTTATGCGGACAACAAAGCGCTGCCGTTTTTGTTGGGATCGGGTTTTATAATCAACAAAAGGGGTCACGTCATTACCGCAATGGATCAGGTCTTAAGGCACGAAGAGTTTATCGTGCGATTAGGCGATGGCCAGGAAGTGATGGGAAGGCGACTCTATAACACGGGATCAGTGTTTCAGACAGCGATGATAGCGCTGGTGGGCCGGGAGGGCGGCTATCCCTGTGTGGAAACTTCCGGCGATTATGCAAACCTCAGACTCGGCTCTCAGATCTTTGTGGTCGGCTGTCCTCGATATGGTCTCTATAATCACGTGACCGACGGTCCGGTCACTAATGTTACGCAAACGGCCGATGAAATTAAGGCGTTTACTAATGTACAGCACGACATATTTAAAGCGATGACCATGATTCAACACTCGGCACCGGTTGGCAAACATGAAAAGGGCACCGCTTTGGTGAACGCCGCGGGCAAAGTGCTCGGCATCAATGCATTTCACTACAATCTCAATTACAACATCGCGTATCCCATCCATGATATCATTAGTTAATTAATGACCACTTTTTTTGGTGTCGGACTTATAATAGCAGTTAATTTTTTGTCTCATTTGTCTCCACTAGAGGTTCACTCGGATTATAAATCGCAAACATCGGGACCGCCGCCGTTGGGACTCATTGTCCGGGAACTGACCCCCGGCCTGAAGGACAAGCTTAAGGATCCCAAGATTGCCGACGGGAACGGGATTCTGGTTTACGGCTTTCTGGACAATGCGAGTACACTCTGGTATGAATGGCAACTTATTTTGTGTTTGGTTTTGATTATTGATAACATTTATTGCTATACAACAGGGCTTTAAGCGACGTCCGGGAATACGATGTGATTTCACACATCAATGGCCACGAAGTGAAAGCGATGGACGACTTTTACCGAGCGGTCGATGAATACAAATTAAGTCAAAGAATAAGACTTACGTTGAAAAGAGATGGTAGAGACAGAACTCTGGACGCACTCATCAAACAGCCCGGTGTTGAGCCCTTTTGCTTTGTTTAACTCATTTTTATACATTTATCGCATGTTTTTTGCAAATTATTATTGGTATTGAAAATACATTACTTTTCACTGATTATGAGAAATAAATGCTAAATTGTTGTTTGTATTTTATTTTACAATTATTCTCATTAAATATTGTGCAAAATAAAATATGTTGTTAATAGCAATTGATTGATAAATAAATTTTAGATGAAAAGTTAGAGAGAGAGAGAGAGAGAGACTCGAGAGTAACTCAATGGTAGAGCTGTTGTGTAAGAGTGGTGTCTAAGACTGACTTAAGCGGGGAGAGGGCTGTGGTATATATACCCAGCCCTGGTATGTGAGGTGAGAGAGAGAGAGAGAGAGAGAGAGATTTTAGTGTATTTTTTATAAGATCTGACAACAGGTGATGTGTTGGCTGACGACAGCCAACGCTTAACACAGATAGTAATACATTAAACAATTTTATTTAACTTCAAACTATTCTAAATTATATTAATTAATTTCTAATGATCGTGATACATTTTTTTCCATTTGAAATAGCAGCATGAATAGCTGTGAAAATTATTATTTTATATGATAATCGTGTTAAATATAAACTATTATAGCTACTAAAAATTCAATTAAATATAATTTTAGAAAGTTAAATTGAATTTCTAATTTAATTATATATATTATTCACAATTAATTAACACTAAAAATCGTTTGGTAGCGAAGAGTTCATTAAAAGGCGACAAAATAACTATTTTTAAAGTAATGTTAAGTTATATATTTATAAAATTGTTTATTAAATGAATAAAACCGGTAATAAATGTATTAAAAGTTCATTGGCTATCGATATATTAAATCAAACATGTTTATTTTTGCTGAACACAATTCATTAATGTAATAATTTGTTGATTTTAATTATGGCTCTAATTTTCAGTATAATTTGTCTCTAAATGATATTAGAGTATAACCACCCATAGAAACCCATGTTAAGCATAACCAATACTAACCCCCCTTCACTTTTTACTCTCCCCACTATAGCGGGACCTCACATACCAGGGCTGGGTATATATACCACAGCCCTCTC